ACAAATTTGAGTTTCAACATTCCTTGCCCAAGGAGATTATCCAAATTGAGGCATGCATATTGCCTCATTTGCTCCCTCAGTCTGTCCAGGAATCTCATAGGCTCTTCGTCCTTTTCTTGTTGTATATCAAATGCTTTAGAAAGATTTTGAGTTCAGGGTACTGATTCCTGAATTCCTTTTATTATTACCTCCCTTAGGTCCTGCATATTTTCCTGGTGATCTGCATTGTTATTGTCCCACTGGGGGTCTTGGGCAGGGAATTTCTGGTCTGTTGTAGGAATGTTTTCAGCTGGAGGGTGTTCACATTCCCAAACTACCATAGCAGCCCTATGAATCATACTCCTTTCTTCCCCTGAAAAGTGGGTGCTCAAGATGGACATTAACTTGACCCAAGTGTATAACTGAGGTCCAAAGAATTGGTCAATTTGGTCTGTCACTCTGTAAGGGTCATGTAGTAGCAGTTTAAGCTCCTTTTTAAAATTCCAGACTTCTGAACTGGTTAAGGGAGCATTTACAAAGTAAATGACTCCCCCCTCCTTGTGGTACCTCTTTCAAAGAGAAGAGAATCAGGGCTGACCCCTTAGGAATGGAGGGAAATCGGAAATTCTGAATATCTTTTTTACATTGTTTTACCTCACATTGGATTCCTTTTAGAGAGGGGTGTTTAGGTTGGGAGGGAACAGGCTGGTGGGATGGTAATTCCCTAGGGACAGGGTTACAAGGAGGAGGGATAACGTGAGTAGAGGAAGGATTTGGAATGGGATATGAGGCAGCAGTGGCTGCCTGAGGGGAAGGATTGGGGATACTGAGCAGGGGAAGATAGTTTAGGGGATCCCACACACTGGAATCATTAGGTGTGAGAGCTGGCTCCTCTGACGTTTCACTTTGAGTGCCAGATTGGGTTCATCCCTATTTGTTTTTAAGGGAAAAAGGAGGGCAGGCCCTTGCCTCCAGCAAAGAGCATAGCCTAGTTCTTCTTGAGGCACTGGACTTTTGTAATTAACATTTTGGATTAGAAGCTGACACATTATAACCTCATTTGACCCAAATGTTGGCCAGAAGATTGAGGGTTTGAGGATGGGTCCCGGAGTCCAAATCAAACAGCAACATTTTATCATTTTTTGCTTTTTCCTATGTTTAGTCCTTCCATTATCCTTCCAGTATTTTAACATGAGACCTAGGGAACTCTCTGGGGGATATCATTGTTACCGTCTTATCCCTCTTGCTCCCTGTCTTGCTCAGGGTATTTCCCATCTTGATGGTTTTGGGGTAAGGCTCAATTTCCCTTACTGGAAATTTCTTGCCTTTTGGGGTGAGGCTCAATTTCCCCTATTGGGGATTTCTTGCCTTTTCTACTACTGGAGGTTTGTATGAGGTTCAATCCCCACTAATGGGGATGTCTCACCTCTTTTTAACACCTAAGCCACCCCAACCAAGGAGTATTTCACCACCCCCCTGCGACTTTCTTACCTTGGTCCCAGCCAACAAGGAAATACTTTACCAGCTCCTGCAGTGTCTTTTGCTCGGTCCATGCACAGACTTACATGGCCGTTGTGGAGGATCCTTTACCCCAGGTTGCTGACTGGTTTCTTTCCGCATTACTGAGCTTAGGTTATTTCTCACACTGGGTGGGTCCTGATTTCTCACTCCTGAGGCCGCCACAAGGGGGCAGGGCGCACCTCCTCCTGAGAGAGAACCAGAGACCACTCCTGGAGGGGAATGTAATCCTGGACGAGCCCCAAAATTGTTATACGTAAAGTTTTGATGCTGCAAAAGAAATAGCACTAAACTACAAATGTTTTCTTCTCAGCAAGGTGATTTACTTCTATAGAAGGATGTGCCCTTACAGATGGAGCAATGGTGAGTGCACACTTGGACAAGGGAGGGGAAGGGGTTCTTATCCCTGACTCACATGGTCCCTGCTGCTGTGTCATCACCCTATTGGCTAGGGTTAGACCACACAGGCTAACTAATTCTCATTGGCTAATTTAAAGAGAGTGACAGGGAGAGTGGTTTGGTGGGAAAAATGAATGAGTCCGCATGGAGCAGGTAACCAGAATGATTCAAGGGGGAGCAGGTAATCGGAATCAGTCAGGGCAGAGCAGGTAATCGGAATTAGTCAGGGTGGAGCAGGTTATCGGAATGAGTCAGGGCAGAGAAGGTAATTCGAATGAGTCAGGGTGGAGCAGGTGATCGAAAAAGTTTGCTTTACGAGGAAGCTAAGTTTAAAAGTAGAAGGTAAAGAACTGAACATACTGACATATGATTCTTTGAAAAGAAGTTTAGAACTCATATCTAATACAGGGATCTGGGTTCTGTCATTGTGAGGCTCAACTCTCTGAAGTCCTTGTCATGTACTCTGGAGCAAGGGAGCACAGAAGGATACTCTGTGGCCAGTCATTGGGGGATCACATGGACCTGCTATATAGCCAGGGAATGGCCACAGTGTTCTCATTCACATTCCAGCGACCAGAATGCATTACTTGGTCCCACCCAGATGCCTTAGGGGCTAGAACATTGTCTTTCTGTGTGCATATGAGAAAAATGAGGGAGTTTGAAGAACACATAGAAATGCTCAGTCCTGGCCAGGCACAGTGGCTCATTCCTGTCATCCTAGCACTTTGGGAGGCTGAGGTGGGCAGGTTGCTTGAGTCCAGGAGTTCAAGACTAGCCTGGGCAACATGATGAAAACACATCTCTATTAAAAATATAGGCCAGGCACAGTAGCCCATGCTTGTAATCCCAGTGTCAGACCTCTGAGCCCAAGCCTGCACATATACATCCAGATGGCCTGAAGCAAGTGAAGAATCACAAAAGAAGTGAAAAAGGCCTGTTCCTGCCTTAACTGATGACATTCTACCATTGTGATTTGTTCCTGCCCAACCTTAACTGAGCGATTAACCTTGTGAAATTCCTTCTCCTGGCTCAGAAGCTCCCCCACTGAACACCTTGTGACTCCCACCCCTGCCCGTAAGAGAAAAACCCCCTTTGACTGTAATTTTCCACTACCCACCCAAATCCTATAAAACGGCCCCACCCCATCTCCCTTCCCTGACTCTCTTTTCAGACTCAGCCCACCCGCACCCAGGTGAAATAAACAGCCTTGTTGCTCACACAAAGCCTGTTTGGTGGTCTCTTCAAACGGATGAGTGTGACACCCAGCACTTTGGGAGGCCAAAGTGGGTGAATCGCCTGAGGTCAGGAGTTCGTGACCAGCCTGGCCTACATGGTGAAAACCCGTCTCTACTAAACATACAAAAAATTAGCCAGCGTGGTGTCACACACCTGTAGTCCTAGCTACTTGGGAGGCTGAGGCAGGAGAATTGCTTGAACCCAGGAGGCGGAGGTTGCAGTGAGCTGAGATTGTGCCACTGCACTCCAGGCTGGGTGACAGAGCAAGACTCAGTCTCACATATGCACACACACAAATTTTTTAAAAAAGATAAAAATTAGATGGGTGTGTGTGGTGGTGCACGCCTGTAGTCCCAGCTACTCCAGGGGCTGAGGTGGGAGGATTACTTGAGCTTGGGAGATGGAGGCTGCAGTGAGCCAAGACTGCACCGCTGCATTCCAGCCTGGGTGACAGCATGAGACCCCATCTCAAAAAAAAAAAAAAAGGAAAGAAAGAAAGAAAGAAAGCTTCAGGCCGGCTTCCTGACATCTAATTAAGTCTTCCCATGTGCCAGACTCATACTAGTGCTTGACACAGGCTGGTGTTCTTGAGGCAGCCAATAGTCCTATGGAGTGGGGAGTACTATTATTACCCCCATTTGGCAGACTTGGAAACTGAGGCTGAGTGCACATAACTTGTTCATGATCAGCATGCTGGCATTTGGCAGAGCCAGGATTTAAATCCAAGTGTTGCAAATGCAGGGTTTCTCAACTACCTTGCTATCAGCTTGTTGGACTGCATAAGTCTTTGTGCTTTGCAGGATGTTTGGCAATATCCCTGGCCTCTTGTCTATGGCACTCCAGCACCAGCCCTCTGCCCCTTCCTGAGTGGGGACAACAAAAATGTTTCCAGATATTCCCGTATCTTCTGGGAGGTAAAATCTCCCCTGTCTGAGAACCACTGCTCTCTCACTCAAGCAGGGAGGTGGGAGACACAGCAGATATTGCTATTGTTACTGCAGATGTGGGACTTGGTTGTTAGGGGAAGATTTCCAACGGTGACATCAACCTTTGACCTGACCTGGAAAGGCAAGCAAGCACAGTTTCCTGGATTTGCAAGAAAGAGGACAAAGCCTGTCTATTCATTCCTTCACTCCATAGGCATTTGCTGAGCACCTACAAAGTACCAAGCGCTGATCCAGCCTCTGGTGATAAAATGGCACAAAAAGAAAATCCCTGTCTTCCCAGACAAGAAGCAGACAAGTGAGGCAGGTGATGATAAAGGTCACAGGGAAAAACCAAGCAGTGGAGGGGGGGTGAGGAAGGTGGGGGATAGGGAAGATGGGGGATGGGGAAGGTGGCGGGATGGGGAAGGTGGGGGATGGGGAAGGTGGATGGAGTCATGCTGGTGGGAGTTAATTTAAATAAGATTGCCAGGGATGCCCTCACTGAGAAGGCAACATTTGAGCAGAGACCAGCAAGAGGGGAGGCATGGAGCCCGGCCGAGGTCTGGAGGAAGAATGGCATACAGAGAATGGCTTGCTGTACAACAGCTCTGGGACGTCCTCCACAGGCTGATGGATGGATGATAAGCTGGAGTTGAATCAGGGAGTGGGGGATGAGGTCCAAGGACCGGTGGGAGGAATTGTGTTTGTGATGTCCATTGTGACTTGATGGCTTACCCAAGACTGTTTCTAGTTAGCAGTGCCAGATTGTAAGCTGAGACTCTAGAACTTTCTTTTCTGGCTGGATCAGGCTGGATGGGCCACTTTCTCCTCTGCATGGGCCCTGTCCTAGAACCACATCCTCACCTGAGTCTGTGACTCACCTGGGCTGGGTCAGTGTTTGTGGGACGGAGGGAGGTGGGGAAGGGCAGGTGTGACTTATAAATGGAAGAGATCTGCGGCTCCGAACCGTGTCCTAAATGCTTTACCCTGTGCACAGCTTCCTCTCAGCCCTCTCCGAGCTGGAAGCAGCATGTGGGTCCTGGCCCTGATCTTCCTCGCAGCAGACTGTGTGTTCTCACTAGGGGTCACTCTGTGGGTCATTTGCAGCCAGTTTTTCATTGTGCACATCCCGGCAGCGATTGGCCACCCTGTGAAACTGAGAGTCCTTCATTGCATCTTCCAGCTGCTGGTGACATGGGTGAGTTTTGTGTTTTATGTGTCCCTCCAGCTGAGCATTAAGGAAGGGAACAGGAACAATCACACACCAGAAGCTTCTAGCTGAATGAACACCGGTATCATGGGGCCCGCAGTGACAGGGGATCGCACCTTCTGAAACCTGCATAATCTCTATTAGGTGGTTCTCAGCCTCTTTGGGTGTTTCTGAAGCTGGCCCCGGCCAATATCCACAAAATTTGAAGAATGATCTGCTTTCTCAGTTAACAGAAGGAGAAAACCAGTTTGGTTCTATCCACCTGTGTGTCTCCCATCTGACTTTCTTTTTTTGTTGTTGGTTTGTTTTATTTTTTAAATTGAGGTAAAACATGCATATAAAATTTACCACCTTTCTCATTTTTAAGTGTACAGTTCATGTGTCCATAAATGCGTCCATATTATCCACAGTACTCACCACTCTCCGAAGTTGTGAAGATACGAATGAATTTTCCTGAGTCTCTGGGCCCCCATGGCTATCTGCCTGCTAGCTACAGTCAGCAAGCCACAAAGTAAACAGGTAGCAGATGAGTAAATTAGTGTCGGTGAGCAAAACGACAGAATATGACTTAAAAAATATGTTGTTGCTTTTGAGAGCTAGAAAGCTGCCTAGGTAATATCTGGTGTAATTTGTTCAAATACCTGTAAATGGAACTGTGTAGGTGTTGCCAATATGGATTTCTTGTACTTTTTCTTGTACTTTGACAAAAATTGAATATACAAAATATTTTTTGTAAGTTTCTTACATAACGAAAAGCAATTGCCAGCGCCTCTTCTCAAGAGACACCCTAGGTGTTTCTTCTATGTTATTCAAAATAACTTCTATGCTATTCAAAAGAATGTAGCTATTACCTAAAAGAGAAGATCCCGGGAACTCAAGTCTTCTGATCTCCAGAGTCAGCTTTTATAAGATGCAGTGATTGGGTCCTAGGTTTTCCTGCCCTTGACTCTCAGATTCTGTAGTCCAGGCTCCCAAATACAGTGACTCGATTTCCTCCTTTACAAAGTAGGGAAAATTGCCCCTGCTTCACAGCATTTTGTGGAGACTCCATGAATAACCCTCTCCAGAGGGCTTATTATAATGCCTGGCACAGAGGGAGCCCTCCGTAAATAGTAGCCATTGTTACTCTTTCTTGATTCATTTATTTTTTATGCAAAGATGTGTCATGCAACTGCTGTGTGTCCTGCGCCAGTTCTGGGCCCTAGGGTCAATGACAGGCGAGACAGAGAAAGTTCCCACAGGTCTGCCTTGAGGGAGTTTGTAGGGTCCAGGCGGTGGGGGGCGGGGAAGTGGTCCATAAAGGACCAAACCCACAAGTGAACAAGCTACAGATAAACAGCTTCCCAAAGTGGAGAATGCAAGGAGGACAGCAAAACCCATCAGGGGAGTCAAGCAGGGCTTCTCGCCTTGGGTTCCTTGAGCCTCTGGGGTCACAGAACACAAGGGGGTCATGGATTTAGATGGGGTCAAAGTAACCCCATTTTCACAACTAACTTCCAATTGAAATTCTTTCTATGAGGAATGAAGGCAACAAACCACAGCCCTGAAAGCCAGACGTCGACTTTGTCACCAGAGGAATCAGACATATTTGCATAGCCTATGAGATATTGTGAAAACTCATGTATTCTCATTTCTTTGAAACTAGGGTAGTGTCAGGCAGCAGTTAGATCTTATTACTCTATGTGCTAGTAAGGAAGCACCTATGTTATTATGTCATACATTTTAATATTTTGGTAAGTATATTTAAATAAAACTGCTTTTCTTTATAATCTCATGTATTTATTTTATGTATTTAAAAATGTTCTGGGCTGGGTGTAGTGGCTCACACCTGTAATCCCAGCACTTTGGGAGGCTGAGGTGGGAGGATCATTTGAGTCCAGGAGTTTGAGACCAGCCTGGGTGACATAGTGAGGCCTCTGTCTCTCCAGAGAAACAAAACAAAACAAAAGTTCTCAAATGAGGCCTGCAGTCTTTTACCCGTGGCCAAAATTGCTGTGGCACAGACAAGGATTAGGAAACACTGGAAAGGATACCCAGAGGGAGAGCCCTCTTTATTTATGTATTTTAAACTTTTTTTTTGAGCTGGAGTTTCACTCTCATTGCCCAGGCTGGAGTGCAATGGCATGATCTTAGCTTACTGCAACCTCTTCCTCTCAGGTTCAGAAAGAGATTCTTCCACCTCAGCCTCCCAAGTAGCTGGGAATACAGGAGCCCACCACCACACCCGGCTAATTTTTGTATTTTTATTTTATTTTATTTTATTTATTTATTTATTTATTTATTTATTTATTTATTTATTTTTGAGATGGAGTCTCGCTCTGTCACCCAGGCTGGAGTGCAGTGGCCGGATCTCAGCTCACTGCAAGCTCCGCCTCCCGGGTTTACACCATTCTCTTCCTCAGCCTCCTGAGTAGCTGGGACGACAGGCGCCCGCCACCACGCCCGGCTAGTTTTTTGTATTTTTAGTAGAGACGGGGTTTCATTGTGTTAGCCAGGATGGTCTCGATCTCCTGACCTCGTGATCCACCCGTCTCAGCCTCCCAAAGTGCTGGGATTACAGCCTTGAGCCACTGCGCCCGGCCAATTTTTGTATTTTTAGTAGAGACGGGGTTTCACCATGTTGGCCAGGCTGGTCTTGAACTCCTGACCTCAAGTGATCCACCCACCTTGGCCTCCCAAAGTGCTGGGATTACAGGCATCAGCCACTGTGCCTGGCTGTATTTTCAACTCTTTAGGAAACCTTGACATATACCAAAGGGGAACAGGGTGCCCACTCTCCAGTGTCACCATCACTGACTCCTGGCCCATCTCCCTTCCTTGTGTCCCTAAATGTCCCTCACTTTTTCCTCATTTTCATTTATTTAAGAAGCCAATCTTGGACATCATATTATTTTATCCTAAAATTGTTCAGTAGGCATTTTCAAAAGATATGAACACCCCCTCCCTGTTTTTAAAAAATGTACCCACACTATAGTTAGCTACACAGGTTTGGGGTGGCCAGATTGGCTGGGATGGCACAGGAAGGCCTCCCTGGAAACAGAGGTCGTGCCTGGGCTGAGGTGGAGCAGGGCCTCGTGGTGGAGGCGGGTGTTGCAAGTACAGGGGCCATCGAGGGTGCCCAGAAGTCTGGCTTGTAGTGGCTGCAGTGGAAGGTGTCAGGAGAGTGGGTTGAGAGGAGCTGGCTGGTGCTGTGGTCACCTGGGCCTGCATGACAGTGGATTTTCCTGCAGGTGTCCTGAGGGCACTGAGGGCTTGAGCAGGGCTGTGGTCCAATCTGACTGCAGTTTCCAATCACTCCTTTCGTCACCTGTGGAGGGTAGGTTGTAAAGGCCAGACCCCAGATGGCCTGTGAAGAAACCCATCTCGACAGATTTCTTCTTCTCTCTCCAACAGGGGATGATTTTTGAGAAGCTCAGAATCTGTTCTATGCCCCAATTTTTCCGTTTCGTGCACGATCTGCGGCCGCTAAAGTACGACCCCGATGTTGTGGTCACAGACTTCCGCTTTGGGACAATCCCTGTGAAGCTGTATCAACCCAAGGCATCCACCTGCACCCTGAAGCCTGGCATTGCGTACTACCACGGTGGCGGAGGCGCCATGGGGAGCTTGAGTAAGAACCCTTTTCTCAGACCTCCCAAAGGGTGGTGGCACCCCTTAACATGACTTGAAAGAATGGGCATCCTCCTGGGGCTTAAAGTCTGCTATTATTACCAGGGAACACCAGGGCAGTTCATGGTTTGCAGATCATTGAGGGGGCAAAAATATGGGATATATTGCCCTCTTATGTATCTCCTTATTTACCTAAATGTAATCCTTAGTTAAATGTAATAATACTGTAATATAAGGAAGGATACTGTAAGGTAAAGATCCTGAAATATACCCTTACTTGCATTTATATGTGTACATATGTATATACATATAAATATATACATATATATATCACTACTTACAATCACCACCTCTATTTAGTTGGAAATAAGGATATTTTAAATGAAAAGAATTAACACACAGCATTTTGTGTCACATCAGGTGTTGCTAAGACAAATTCTGGTACAGACAAATAGGAAGATTTGAGAAAAATCAATGAGAGGAAAAAGTCACTATTGAGACAAGTAATAATTAATAACTATCTTAATTATTACTCCCAGGGAATTGGGGGAGGGGAAATATCTTTATATGCTTTCTAATCTGTGGAATGCCAGGGTCCCAGTGTGGCAGCCTTTGAGAATAAGGGATTTAATGCAAGGGTGATGTTGGTTTTGTCTATATGAGAATGATAGTAACAGCCAATATTTATTAAGCAATATTTGTTAATATTACTAATTACACACAGGCACTGTGAGAACCCTATAGGTGGATGATCTCATTCTAACTCCAACACTCTATGAGTTAGATATTATCATTACCCCAGTTCACAGATGAGGAAATCAAGCCTCAGGAGGTTAAGAGGCGCACTAGGCACTATGTCATCTCAAACTAGAAGGAGGCAAAGATGAGATTTGAACTCCAGTCTGAATCCAGAGCTCACACCCTAAACCTCCGCACTCTACAGTCAAACAGCTTTGCAGATATTTTTAATGACTTGTAGGATGGATCGGAGGGTGGGCATCTTAGAGAAAGTTGTTCAGGCAGTACCACGAAGGAGAATCAGTGAGAAGATTGACCGGAGCTTTGCTGGAGTAGAGGAAAACCTAGTCAGCGTTGGCCCAAGGGCTGTGTCTATAAGAAGGCAGCAACGATGGCTGGCAAAGGAAGCCTTCCTAGTGAATGTTAAAAACCATTTATTTTCTAGAAACCCACCATGGCATATGCTCTCGTTTGTGCAAGGAGAGTGACTCTGTGGTTATGGCAGTTGGGTGAGTAAAGGGGAGATTCCAGGGAGCCAGCAGGGAGCAAGGCTCTGATGCGGAGAGATGGGGTGGGAAGAAGAAATGGGGGTGGGGGGTGGGAGCAGATTGGTGCTGGAGGAAGCCCAGAGGCGAGGATGGGCTGGGAGAAGCCAATGAAGAGAGAAAGAGAAGGCAGCTGGGTGCGGTGGCTCACGCCTGTAATCCCAACACTTTGGGAGGCCACGGCGGGCGAATTCTTGAGCCCAGGAGTTCAGAGCAGCCTGGGCAACATAGTGAGATCCCATTTTTACAAAAAATACAAAAATTAGCCAGGTGTGGTGGTATATGCCTGTAGTCCCAGCTACTTGGGAGGCCGAAGTGGAAGAAGAACCTGAGCCTGGGAGGCTGCAGTGAGCTGTGATTGCGCCACTACACTCAGCCCGGGTGACAGAACAAGATCCTGTCTTAAACAAAACAAAACAAGAAAAAGAGAGTGAGAGAAAAATAAGGGGAGGTGAAGACAGTTGGAGAGACAGAGAATGGGGAACCCCTTCCTCTGTGCATGTGGGCCTTGGGTTTGTTTAAACAGAGGTGTTTTGTGCGTTTGGAAGCTGGGTAGGAGGTGGTCTTTTTTAAGCGGATCAGGTGCAGAGTTTCACTGCATGAACACCTGGGCGACATAGCTGTTCTTTGAGTAAAACAGCCCTGCACCTCCCTCTGCTAAATGCCTGTGGTACCCTGTACCATCACTCAAACAACCCGAAATGCTGCCACATCCACTTCCAAGTGCTCCCAAAAGGGAGGTCCCTCTGGCAGAGACCCACTGAAGAAAGCGAGAAAAACCAAACCAAACCCACTGTCTCTCCTAACGGATCTCTGACAGTCACCACTCAGCCTGGAGCCTCAAAGAGGGCGTGGTGAGCATTGGGTCCCCTGTCCTGCTGCCTGACGCAGCATCACACACGTGGTTCCTCCTGGTTAAGTTTCCCTGTAGTTTCACGTAGAGGTACACACTCTAAAGAAATATCAGTTCTTTGCGTCTCAGTGGGGGTACATATGCCAACTTTCTTATGGCACAGCTACCTGAGGAGAGTAGAAAATGAAGGGATGAAGCTGGGCACAGTGGTTCATGCTTGTAATCCCAGCACTTTGGGAGGCCAAGGCGGATGGATCACTTGAGGCCAGGAGTTCAAGACCAGCTGGCCAACATGGTGAAACCTTGTCTCTACTAAAAATACAAAAATTAGCCAGATGTGGTGACATGTGCCTGTAGTCCCAGCTACTCAGGAGGTTGAGGCAGGAGAATCACTTGAACCCGGAAGGCAGAGGTTACAGTGAGCTGAGATGGCACCACTGCACTCTAGCCTGGGTGACAGAGTAAGACTCCGTCTCAAAAAAAAAAGAAAAGAAAAGAAAAGAAAAGAAAAACAAAATTAAGAGGTGAGATGAGAGAGAGAACTGGATAAACCCCTGACTTTACAATTCTTAGCTCCAGAAGGGTTTCTACCATGGAATCTTGCTGGACACCTTATCATTCTGGTTGTGCCAAACCAAGAGATTGTCAGTAGAACATGCTAGCAAGTCTCCACTAGAAAGTTATTTTCTAAATCCAAGGTAGATAGGATTTTGGAGTTAAGGGCATTGCTCTCCAGGACTTCCTATTCCCAGGTGGCCTGAAATGGGGGTATGGAATGGAAATGGCATCAGCCATTTGTTGGTCCCATAGAGTGTTTCCTTTTCTTTTCTTTCTTTCTTTCTTTCTTTTTTTTTTTTTTAATTTGTGGCCGGCATTGAAAAATAGTGAACTTTCTCACAAAATCTGGATTTCCAGAACCTCTTAGCAATACCAGGTAGGCATGGCAGCAATGGTGTTGAGTGTGCATAGCTTGTTTTGAAGAGTGCTGTGTATCTCTGGCCTCTGGTGGTACAGTCAGTCCTCAACACTGTTGACAGGTTCTTGGAACTATGACTTGGAGTAAAACCAGTTTTACCTATTACAAAACCTAGGCTAATTGATATAAACAGAATTAAGCTCTGATGGTATAATCCTGGTCACAAAACACCAGCAAATTTATTAAATTTTTTAAAAATTTATTTTACTACTTTTATATTTTATCATTTTCTTTTTCTTTTTCTTTTTTTTTTTTTGAGACAGAGTCTCGCTCTGTCACCCAGGCTGGAGTGCAGTGGCGCGATCTCGGCTCACTGCAAGCTCCGCCTCCCGGGTTCATGCCATTGTCCCGCCTCAGCCTCCTGAGTAGCTGGGACTACAGGCGCCCGCCACCGTGCCCAGCTAACTTTTTTGTATTTTTAGTAGAGACGGGGTTTTACCGTGTTAGCCAGGATGGTCTCGATCTTATGACCTTGTGATCTGCCCGCCTCGGCCTCCCAAAGTGCTAGGATTACATGCATGAGCCACCGCACCTGGCCTAATTTTCTTTAGTAGAGGTGAGGGCTTGCCATGTTGCCCAGGCTGGTCTCAAACTCCTGAGGTCAGGCAAACCTTCTTCCTCAGCTTCTCAAAGTGCTGAGATTACAGGCGTGAGCCACTATGCCTGCTGTAAGCTTCTAAATAAAGACCAAAACCTGCTAATATTAAAAATTGAAATAAACATGAGCTATACATATATTTTTAAAAGATTGATAAAAACAAAAAGATAATTGTTTGCCCAATTCTTGGTGAATCAGTGAGTGATGGTGGTCATTCTGGTGGTGGGTTAAATCTAGGAATAAATGTTTGCAAGGTGAAAATTGCCAGGAGTACCTCTGACCATCTCCCAGTTCAAAACTAAGCACTCACAAATGTGGCAGGCTCACTGAGAGCTTCTGTACTGCATCATTTATTTTTGTGCAGATGTATGATTATTGTAGACTTTATGCAATTTTTTTTTTTTTTTTTTTTGAGATGGGCTCTCCCTCTGTCACCCAGGCTGGAGTACAGTGGTGTGATCTCGGCTCACTGCAACCTCCGCCTCCTGGGCTGAAACGATTCTTGGGCCTCAGCCTCCTGAATAGCTGGGACCACAGATGCACACCACCATGCCTGGCTAGTTTTTTGTATTTTTGGTAGAGGCAGGGTTTCACCATGTTGCCCAGGCTAGTTTTGAACTCCTGAGCTCAGGCGATCCATCTGCCTTGGCCTCCCAAATTGCTGGGATTACAGGCATGAGCCACTGTGCTTGGCTGACTTTATAATTTTTTTTTTTTTTTTTTTTCTGAGACAGAGTTTCACTCTTGTTGCCCGGGTTGGAGTGCAACGGCGCGATCTCAGCTCACCACAACCTCTACCTCCCGGATTCAAGGGATTCTTCTGCCTCAGCCTTCCTGAGTAGCTGGGATTACAGGCATGTGCCACCATGCCCGGTTAATTTTGTATTTTTAGTAGAGACAGGGTTTCTCCATGTTGGTCAGGCTGGTCTTGAACTCCTGACCTCAGGTGATCCGCCTGCCTCGGCCTCCCAAAGTGTTGGGATTACAGGCGTGAGCCACCGCACCTGGCTGGCTTTATGCATTTTTCATTTTGCAATAATGTATATTCCTTCATCTATTCGGTTTCCAACTCACTTATTCTAATTCAGGGTCACGGGGGGCTGGATCCTATCCCTGCAGCTCAGGGAACAAGGCAGGAACCCGCCCTGGACAGGACACCCTCCTATCGCAGGGCACACTCACACCTACACCCACATTCACTTGGACCGGGACAATTTAGACATGCTCATGAATGTAACATACACATCTCTGGGATGTGGAAGGAAACTGGAAGAACGGGAGAAAACCCACACAGACATGAGGAGAATGTGCAGACTCCACACAAACAGTAGTAGCCTAGGCTGGAGTCATTTTTCTTTCTTTCATCAATATAATGAAACAATGTTGAATGAAATGACATTATTTGAGGGCTGCTTTTTTCTTCTTCTTCTTCTTTGAGACAGAGTCTCACTCTGTCTGTCGCTCAGGCTAGAGTGCAGAGGCGTGATCATAGCTCACTGTAGCCTCAACCTCCCAGGCCCAAGCGATCCACTTGCCTTAGCCTCCTGAGTAGCTGGGACTACAGGCATCCACCACCACGCCCAGCTAATTTTTTGTATTCTTTGTAGAGATGCGGTCTCACCATGTTGCCCAGGTTGGCCTTGAACTCTTAGACTCAAGGGATCGGCCCACCTCGGCCTTCTAAAGTGCTGAAATTAAAGGCATGAGCCACTGGCCTGGCCGACCTGCTGTATTTAAGTCTATAAGATCCCCCCTAACAAAATCTGTAGGTATGGCATGATTAATTAAAAACCCAAGCAGGCCTTGAAGTTGCTCATACAAGAATCGTAAGACAGGAAGCAGGAGCAGGTGAGTCAGGGAAGCAACATGAGGTAGGTTCAGGAAGATGGGGCCAGTGTGGGTGATATTTCCACTGTTGGCCAATTGGTGGATGTCTCGTGACACAGATCCCCCATTAGGGCATTGAGATAGTAGGAATGGCACCTGCCTAGGTATGTGGGCTTTATGTGTCTCGTCTCATTTAACCCTCACACCTAACTACCTGCTCAAGTTTCAGAAAGGGAAGTGAATGGACTAATTTGGGCTAAAAGATGCTAGACGCTGATATTTTTGGATCTGCTGGGGCGATGGGTATCAACTATGTTTCTTGATTCCTTTTTAGTTACCGCCAGTTACCTAAGCATAAGTTTCCAGTGCCAATAAGAGACTGCTTGGTGGCCACCATCCACTTCCTGAAGTCCCTGGATGCATACGGAGTGGATCCAGCCCGGGTTGTGGTCTGTGGTGACAGTTTGGGAGGGGGAATAGCCACGGTGGTTTGTCAAAAACTTGTGGACAGGCCAGATCTGCCCCGGATCCGAGCTCAGATCCTGATCTACGCCAGTCTCCAAGCCCTGGATTTACAAACCCCTTCCTTTCAACAGAATAAAAACATCCCCCTGCTCAACTGGAGTTTCGCCTGCTACTGTTTTTCTCAATACCTGGACTTCAGCTCCTCCTGGCAAGAGGTCATCATGAAAGGCGCCCATTTGCCTGCCAAAGTCTGGGAAAAGTACAGAAAGTGGTTGGGCCCAGAAAACATCCCTGAGAAGTTTAAGAAGAGGGGCTACCGACCGGTGACCCCTGAGCCCGTGAATGAAGCTGCTTACTTGGAAGTAAGTGTTGTCCTGGATGTGATGTGCTCGCCTCTGATTGCAGAAGATGACGTAGTGTCTCAGCTCCCGGAAACTTGCATCGTGAGCTGTGAGTATGATGCTCTCCGGGACGATTCGCTGTTGTACAAGAAGAGGCTGGAAGACCTGGGAGTGCCCCTGACCTGGCACCATATGAAGGATGGTTTCCATGGAGTGCTCACCACCATTGACATGAGCTTCTTTCACTTTCCGTGCTCCACGAGAATTCTGAATGCGTTAGTCCATTTCATAAAGGGGCTGTGACCATCTTTCTTCTCTGCTGGTACTGCGGTGTGGACTCCACTGGCATCCAGCCTCCCACAGAACTCTCTTGCTGATTTAGGTGGTGCATAGTGGGGCTAGGGAAGGGGTAGAGGTTGCTGTCACCTTTCTAGTCCAGGTTCTAGAACCACACGATGCATGCTCCTGATGTCCAGAGGATGTGGTAGAAAAGACAGGTTTGGAGGTGGGAGTGGGGGTCTCTGTCTCTGTTCTCTGTTGGGAAAATTTAGGCTGACAATCTTCAGTGGCTATTTGTGGTAGTGAATCAGCAGGTAAGAGCTGTTCTCAGCCTCCCTATGGGGCAGTTCAGGCTCTCCAGATTGATCCAGACTGTGTGTGACTTGTGTCCACTTGGCTGGACTTTGAAATAGCACAAGGGCATCACGCACAACCTCCCGGGGCTTTCCCAATGAGGCTCAGAGGCAGGAGCTCTGATGCTCTCGGCTGCTGTGAGGTAGTGGTGGTGGTGGAGAAACTGGCTTCACCCACCTTCTCTTCTGTGAACAGTAGTGACTTTTCCTGCTGTTTCTCAGCCTCTGGGATCAGAGTCTTGACTGCCTGGGCTGGAAACATTAAGATAGAATGGATAGAGCTTCCACAGTTGTTGGCATCGAGTGGTGGATGAAGACAGCCTGCAGCTGCCCGACTTGGGGAGCTCTGGAGCTCCTGGAATCAAAGCCTGGCTTCCAACCAGAAGCCCCAAAGCAATATTCTAAGAGTTTGAAGAGAGAAGTTGGGAGGGAAGTGGGGTCCTGAGTTAGAGAACCGTGAAGGCTGAGTCTAACTAGATAACCCTGTACACAGTGCAAAGTCAAGACAGCCAAAGGAACAGAAGATGTATTTGTGAGAACTATTTCTTTTTTAAGACATGGAACCAACTCAAATTGGCCTCCATTAGAAAGAGAATAGATTGGCTTAGGTAGCGATGCATGCTAGGCATACATTAGGCAAGGTTTGATCCAGGAACTCACACAGTGCCATCAGCTGTCCTGTCTTTTCTGCTCTGCTCTTTTCTCCTCTGTGTTAATGCCACCTTTACCTCTCCATATGGTGGCACTGATCAGCTTGATGGTTACCTTCTCCCAGGGTCAAGTTCATTATCATGGACTTGCCTCATTCTCAGCAGTCCCAGAAAAAAACCTCATTGCAACTTAATGGCTTTGTTGGCTTTCTGAGCCATGTGTCCAGTTGCCACAGCCAAGGGAATGGAATGATCTAACTGACCATTCCCAAGTCCTATGCCATCTTGAGAGTGGAGGGTGGAGTCAATTCACCTTGGTGCTTGGACTAAACATGGGGTGGTAAGTGACAACTTCCCTAATTGAAGGGTGAATGGTTGTTGGGCGGACACCAACACTTATTCTACTGTAGAAGCTAAATTGAACCCTCAGGCAGGATATGTGAAAGTGGCAAGAGGTGTCAAGGACCACTGGGCAAATTGGCCAACTGTTCCTTAGGAATGAAAATTCATTTGAAAGGAATGGTCAGGCTCCCATGCTGGCCCCACCTGGTCTTCTGGAGGCTCTGATCTTGGTTAGTTAGTGGTCTTTACAGGTCAAGGTCAAGGCCATTGCACAAAAAACCCTGTGCATGCCCTTAACTTGCTTTCAGTTGAATATTTGGGTTGAACTATGAGGCAGAGAGGAATCCTGTTGGGTGACTCCTTGCTCTATTCACAGTTGACCAGCAGGTGGTTTGTTGGAGAAACAGTAACCATCCCCTGAAAACACACACTGTGGTAGCCACTCAACTGTTGAAGAGCACTGGAGTCCAAGGGGTGAGGCCGCCTCTGAGACAGGCCTCTGAGTTGAGTCTGGGAGAGGCTCCCTCCCTGGAGTGTTGCTTTTCTTGTTTCACCCCTGCCTCTGAAGATGGGTGGAGGAACATGAGCTGACCTTCTGGGAAGTTAGGTTGGCGAGGAGTTGCTGAGGTACTGCCGGGCCATGCCCAGTAGAGAGGAATGTATAACATTTTAAGAGGCTGAGAGCACCCCTGGTTGGGCTCATGCCCATGGCAGCTTCCTTCTGCAGATCATGGGAGAAATCAAGCACTTTCACCTAATGGCTAGATGATTGATTTTGGGATGAAATTCTCCACTCCTCTCCTTTACCACATCACCACTATCCTTCCTGCAATCCATCCACGAGACTCACTGAGTGGAAAAGGGATAGGAATGAATGTTCACCCAGGGCCGGCTACATGCTAGGCACTGTACTGGACCATTTAAATTTGCCACCTCTTATGTTCCTCACATTAATCTTACAGAGTAGGTACAGGCATACCTATGGATATTGCAGATTCAGTCCCAGACCACAGCAATAAAGAAAGTCACATGAATTTTTTCTTTCCTTAGTGTATATAAAAGTTACATTTCCACTATATTAGCTTATTAAGTGTGCAATAGTGTTCTGTATTTAAAAAGCATGTACATACCTTAATTTAAAAATACCTTGTTGCTTAAAAATGCTAACAATCATCTGAGCCTTCAGTGATTGCAGTAGCCTAGGCTACCACCGTCTATATGGTTTGCACATTCTGCCCATGTCTGCATGGGTTTTCTCTGAGTCCTCCAGATTTCTCCCAAATTCCAAAGATGTGTATATTACATTCATGGGAATGTTTAAATTGTCATAATCTTTTTGCTGGTTGATGGTCTTGCCTTCATGTTGATGCCCAGGTGGTGGTTGCTGAAGGTGGGGGTGGCTGTGGCAATTTCTTAAAATAAGACAACAGTGGATTTGCCACATCAGTGGACTCTTCCTTTCATGGAAGATTCCTCTGTAGCAGGTGATGCTGTTCTATAGCAGTTTACCCACAGTAGAATTTCTTTCAAAACTGGAGTCGGTCCTCTCAAATCCCTATGCTACTTCATCAACTAAGTTTATGTAATATTCTAAATCTTTTGTTGTCATTTCAACGGTGTTCATAGCATTTTCACCGAGAGTAGATTCCATCTCAAGAAATCACGATTTTTGCTTATCCGTAGGAAGCAACTCCTCATCTGCCCAAGTCTGTTCCTGAGATGGCAGCAATTCAGTCATATTTTCAGGCTCCACTCCTAATTCTAGTTCTCTTGCTATTTCCACCACATCTGCAGTTAACATCTTCCACTGAAGTCATGAACCCCTCAAAGTCATCCATGAGGGTTGGAATCAACTTATTCCAAACTGTTGATGATGATATTTTGACCACCTCCCATAAATCACGAATGTTCCTCATGGCTTCTGGAATCGCGAATTCTTTTCAGAAGGTTTCCAATTTACTTTGCTGAGGTCCATAAGAGGACTCACTGCCTATGATAACTATAGCTTTACAAATTGTATTTCTTAAATAATTAGACTTGTAAGTCAGAATACTCCTTGATCCATAGGCTGCAAAATGGATGTTGTGTCAGCAAGCATGAACAAAATATTAACCTGTACATCTCCATCAGAGTTCTTGGGTTATCAGGTGTCTTGTAAATAAGCAGTAATATTTTCAAAGAAATCTTTTATTCTGAGCAATAGGTCTCAACAGTGGGCTTAAAATATCTAGTAAACCATGCTGTAAACAGATGTGCTGGCATCCAGGCTTCTTTGTTCCATTTATAGAGCACAGGGAGGATAGATTTAGCATAACTTTTCAGGACCCTAGGACTCTTGGAATGGAAATGAGCATTGGCTTCAACTTAAAGTCACCAGCTGCATTAGCTCCTAACAAGAGAGTCAGCCTGTCCTTTGAAGCTTTGAAGGCAGGCATTGACTTCTCCTTTCTAGCTATGAAAGCCCTAGATGGCATCCTCTTCCCATAGAAGGCTGTTTCGTCTACAATGAAAATCCGTTGTTTCATGTAATCACCTTCATCAATCATCTTAGCTGAGTCTCCTGGATAACTTGCTGCAGCTTCCCCATCTTGCACTTGCTGCTTCACCTTGCACTTTTATGATTATGTTATGGAGACAACTTCTTTCCTTCAACCTCATGAACCAACACCTGCTAGCTTCCTCACTTCCCCCTCTGCCTTTATGGAATGAAAGAGTTGGGCTCTTCCTCTAGATTAGGCTTCGGTTTACAGGAATGCTGTGGTTGGTTTGGTCTCCTATTCAGATTATTACATTTTTCTGCATGTCAGCAATAAGGCTGTTTTGCTTTCTTATCTATCGTGTTTCTCTGGAGTAGCACTTTTAATTTCCTTCAAGAACATTTCCTTTGCATTCACAAGTTGGTTAACTGGTATAAGAGATAAAGCTTTTGGCCTGTCTCAGCTTTCAACATGTCTTCTTCACTAAGTTTAATAATTTCTAGCTTTTGATTTCAAGTGAGAGACGTGTGACTCTTTGTTTCACCTGAACCCTTAGAGTTCCTTGTAGGGTTATTCATTAGCCAAATTTCAATATTGTTGTGTCTCAGGGAATAGGAAGGCCCTAAGAGAGGTAGAGAGATGGGAGGGTGTCAGTCAGTGGAGCAGTCAGAACACACAATATTTATTAAGTTCACTGTCTTATATGGGTGTGGTTTGTGGCACCAAAATGATTACAGTGGTAACATCAAAGATGACTGATCACAAAGCAGGCATGGTGGTGCATGTCATGGCCCCAGCCACTCAGGAGGCTGAGGTGGGAGGATTGCTTGAACCCAGGGATTCGAATACAGCCTGTGCAACATAGTGAGACCCAGTCTCTAAAATTTTTTTTTAAAATTTAAGAAAGGAAACAAGGCTGGGTGCAGTGATTCACTCCTATAATCCCTCCTAACGCTATCCCTCCCCTTGCCCCCCACCCCCCAACAGACCCCAGTGTGTGATGTTCCCCTCTCTGTGTCCATGTGTTCTCATTGTTCAACTCCCACTTGTGAGTGAGAAATGCGATGTTTGGTTTTCTGTTCCTGTGGTAGTTTGCTGAGAATGATGGTTTCCAGCTTCATACATGTCCCTGCAAAGGACATGAACTTATCCTTTTTTGTGGTTGCCTACTATTCTACAGTGCATATGTGCCACATTTTCTTTATCCAGTCTATCATTGATGGGCATCTGGATTGGTTCCAAGTCTTTGCTATTGTGATTAGTGCTGCAATAAACATATATGTGCATGTATCTTTATAGTAGAATGATTTATAATCCTTTGGCTATATGCCCAGTAATGGGATTGCTGGATCAAATGGTATTTCTGATTCTGGATTCTTGAGGAATTGCCACACTGTTTTCCACAATGGTTGAACTAATTTACACTCCCACCAACAATGTCAAAGTGTTCCTATTTCTCCATATCCTCTCCAGCATCTGTTGTTACCTGACTTTTTAATAATCACCATTCTAACCAGCATGAGATGGTATCTCATTGTGGTTTTGATTTGCATTTCTCTAATAACCAGTGATGGTGAGCTTTTTTTCATATGTTTGTTGGCTGCATAATGTTTTCTTTTGAGAAGTGTCTGTTCATATCCTTCACCCACTTTTTGATGGGGTTGTTTGCTTTTTTCTTGTAAATTTGTTTAAGTTCCTTGTAGACTGTGGATACCTTTGTCAGATGGATAGATTGCAACATTTTCTCCCATTCTGTAGGTTGCCTGTTCACTCTGATGATAGTTTCTTTTGCTGAGCAGAAGCTCTTTAGTTTAATTAGATCCCATTTGTCAATTTTGGCTTTTGTTGCAATTGCTTTTGTTGTTTTAGTCATGAAGTCTTTGCCCATGCCTGTGTCCTGAATTGTATTGCTTAGGTTTTCTTCTAGAGTTTTTATGCTTTTAGGTCTTACATTTAAGTCTTTAATTCATCTTGAGTTAATTTTTGTATAAGGTGTAAGCAAGAGATCCAGTTTCAGTTTTCTGCATATGGCTAGTCAGTTTTCCCAACACCGTTGATTAAATAGGGAATCCTTTCCCCATTGCTTGTGTTTGTCAGGTTTGTCAAAGATCAGATGGTTGTAGATGTGTGGTGTTATTTCTGAGGCCTCTGTTCTGTCCCATTGGTCTATATATCTGTTTTGGTACCAGTACCATGCTGTTTTGGTTATTGTAGCCTTGTAGTATAGTTTGAAGTCAGGTAGCGTCATGCATCCAACTTTGTTCTTTTTGCTTAGGACTGTCTTGGCTATATGGGCTCTTTTTTGTTTCGTATGAAATTAAAAGTAGATTTTTCTAATTCCGTGAAGGAAGTCAATGGTAGCTTGGTGGGAATAGCATTGAATCTATACATTACTTGGGGCAGTATGGCCATTTTCACGGTATCAATTCTTCCTATCCGTGAGCATGGAATGTTTTCCATTTGTTTGTGCCCTCTCTTATTTCCTTGAGCAGTTGTTTGTAGTTCTCCTTGAAAAAGTCCTCATGTCCCTTGTAAGTTGGATTCCTAGGTATTTTATTCTCTTTGTAGCAATAGTGAATGGGAGTTCACTCATGATTTGGCTCTCTGTTTGTCTATTATTGGTGTATAGGAACGACTCTGATTTTTGCACATTGATTTTGTATCCTGAGACTTTGCTGAAGTTGCTTATCAGCTTAAGGAGATTTTGGGCTGAGACGATGGGGTTTTCTAATTATACAATTATGTAATCTGCAAACAGACAATTTGACTTCATCTCTTCCTATTTGAATACCATTTGTTTCTTTCTCTTGCCTGATTGCCCTGGTGAGAACTTCCACTACTATGTTGAGTAGGAGTGGTGAGAGGGGGCATCCTTGTCTTGTGCTGGTTTTCAAAGGGAATGCTTCTGGCTTTTGCCCATTAAGTATAATAATTGGCTATGGGTTTTTCATAAATAGTTCTTATTATTTTGAGATATGTTCCATCAATACCTAGTGTATTGAGTGTTTTTAGCATGAAGGGGTGTTTAATTTTATCAAAGGCCTTTTCTACATCTATTGAGATAATTATGTAGTTTTTGTCTTTGGTTCTGTTTATGTGATGGATTATGTCTATTGACTTGCATATGTTGAACCAGCCTTGCATCCCAGGGATGAAGCTTACTTTATCATGGTGAATAAGCTTTTTGATGTGCTGCTGGATTTGGTTTGCCAGTATTTTATTGAGGATTTTCACATTGATGTTCACCAGGGATATTGGCCTAAGCTTTTCTTTTTTTGTTGTGTCTCTGTCAGGTTTTGATATTAGGATGATGCTGGCCTCATAAAATGAGTTAGGGAGGAGTGCCTCTTTTTGTATTGTTTGGAATAGTTTCAGAAGGAATGGTACCAGCTTCTCTTTGTACCTCTGGTAGAATTTGGCTGTGAATCCATCTAGTCCTGGGCTTTTTTGGGTTGGTAGGCTATTAATTACTGCCTCAATTTCAGAACTTGTTATTGCTCTATTCAGGGATTTGACTTCTTCCTGGTTTAGTCTTGGGAGGGTGTATGTGTCCAGGAATTTATCCTTTTCTTTTAGACTTTCTAGTTTATTTAAGTAGAGGTGTTTATAGTATTCTCAGATGGTAGTTTGTATTTCTGTGGGATCAGTGGTAATATCTCCTTTACCATTTTTTTTATTGTGTCTGTTTGATTTTTCTCTCTTTTGTTCTTTACTAGTCTGGCTAGCGGTCTATTTTGTTCATCTTTTCAAAAAACTAGCTCCTGGATTCATTGATTTTTTGGAAGGTTTTTTTGTGTCTCTATCTCCTTCAGTTCTGCTCTGATCTTAGTTATTTCTTGTCTTCTGCTAGCTTTTGAATTTATTTGCTCTTGTTTCTCTAGTTCTTTTAATTTTGATGTTAGAGTGTTGATTTTAGAACTTTCCCCCTTTCTCCTGTGGGCATTTAGTGCTATGAATTTCCCTCTAAACACTACTTTAG